TTTAATTATTTATTTTACTCGACAACTTTTCATAATCCATCCAAGTCAAATGTGGGAAATTGTTTTAATTTGGGTATAGCACGTACAGAGAAGTGAAAAAAAATGTATACAGAGCTGCCCGAGCTGCCTAGTCGGATCCTCTCTACACAGTCAGTGTGACATAGAAATAAACGGGATCGGAGATTAAAAAGTCGAACGCAACCGGTGTGTTCTGGTCTTTAGTTAAAACCACAGATAAACAGTAAAAGGAAAATTATAGTTGGTTCTCTAAAACTTTAATTAAACCCAAAAATCTTAAAAGCAGTGTTGTTCGTCTTGCAAATAAGTTCGGCTTTGGTCACTTGACCAGAGCACTCTACTAAACTTCCTGTTTCTTTTTATTAGATTGTCGCAAAATGCAAATGGTTTATTATTGCTACAAATATATCCTAAAAGGACCCTACAAGGATAGATTTTTAAATGTAAGTGTATAGTACTTCTCCTGCTTCCAAATTCCACTCTGCAGAATCTTTTAGTTAAATCTCTAACATTATGCTCTCTCTGATTTTTCTCATAGTAGCTTTGCCTCGTCTGTTCCTGTTTGGCTGTGACAACATCCTGGAGAGAATTATCAGCTATCCTGCTGCAATCAACACCTTTGTTTATACATGTTCGAGATCAGCCTGTTTTTTTTAGTGTAGACCTGTTTCTCTGACTGACTGGCTTGATGTGTTCTCTTCATCCTCTGACATGGGAGCTGGCTCGGAGCTTGTGTGCCTGGCTGTGTGTTTCCTGGACAGGGCCGCCTTTTACAGCAGATGGCCGCTCACACTGAGCCTGGTTCTGCTGGAGGTTCTTCCTGTTAAAAGTGAATTTTTCCTCTCCACTGTCGCTACAAGCATCTTTAGTGTGAGGGATTGCATTCAAGTCAATCAGTCGATGCAATCAACTGGTTTTCCTTAGATAGAAAACTTTGAATCAATTTGACTGTATGATCTGGTGAACTGTAGAGTGCCTTGAGATAACATGTGTTGTGAATTGGGGCTATATAAATAAACTGAATTGAGCTGTGGGACACTGCAACTTCTATGGGGATTTCCATCGGCCTTGAAGTCTTAGTAACTGCTTAGTTGGGTGTTTAAAGCTACAGCTATTGTTTTACAATTCAACCCTGCTTTATACTTCTCTACATCCTTCTCATCTGCTGTGCTGCTTCGTCATCAAGATGCTGTTTGTACCCTAGTTTTCTCTTTCAAACACCTTCACAGATCACTTGCATTTATACTTAGATTAGATTTTCCACAAACAGACTTTATTCCAGACAACTACATTCAGTTGGTAGCACTCAATTATTTTGCCAGCGATTACGAATCACACTTTTCCGAATTATATGGGTATAAATTTGTGAATGTCATCACTTTCCATCATACTCACAATTACAAGCTGTTTAGGCTTGGTTTACGTAAAAGTGAAATAAGATACGCTGAAGTTTTTGGTTGAAATGTGATGGTGAAAAACATTCTTGATATACTGTTGGTGACATTGAGCACTTACAGCTAGCTAAGTCTTCCAGTTGTATCTTGCTAGCTTCAGGAGGGTCACTCTGGGGTCGACACCAGCCGTTCCTACAGAGTGACATTGGAACGATCCCATAGACATACATAAGCATTAACGGCACGCCCACACCTGAAAGACAACAAAGTATGCATATTAAATGAGTATAACATTTAATAGTATTAATGGACACATTGATGGGCATATACTGGAATTGAAAGCTGTGCATTATACAAGTGAATGACCTTTTGGTAAAGTACCTTGAAATAACATGTTGTGCATTAGCACTATGGAAATAAACTGGACTGAAAATGTGATTTTTTTTATGGAGGATAACCTGTATAAACAAATTTAAATAAAATGAAGGTTTTATCAAAAAAAATTCCTTATTTTACAAAAATACAAAATCCATCACACCAGTTTATTGTGCAATAAACCAGCCCCCTAAAAGGAGAATAAAATTAGTTTTACGACAATGAGATAATGCTAAGGGGCATCATCATTCTTTGAGATAAAATGTTTTTTTTTGTTAAAAAAAAATAAAGGTTATAATTTGGACATGGGGTTTTTGTAATTTCTCAACTCTTTTGAAAAGCTGACAAAAAACAAACCTCTAGTCAATGTTGAGCATTTTCTAATGGAACTAAGACAAGGACAAACACAAGAGGGAGCCCTTCTTTTCTAACTGTACACTGGAGGCTTGAATGGGATCTTCCTCTTTCTGCCAAACCACAGCTAAAAGGTTAGGAGGAAATATCATTACAGCGTTGACACAAAAGCAAAAGATGGCTGCACTGTGATGTGTTGTCAGGCCAACCTGAAAAGTGAAAATAAAAACACAGTAAATGTCTAACTTATTTTTTTCATCTCTTTTTTTCAGGAACTAACCTCCCCCCTCCCCCGAAATGCGATGATCAGCAACCTCACCATGCTGCATGATTATGCAACTTGGTGCTGTGTGCGATAGGAATTTGGGAACACAAACCCGAGCTCCAAACAAACAAAGGGACATAATTAACGCAGCCAGAACACTGGGTCACTATTGACTCAACGGAAAGGTGAGAGCGGGGCAGGAGAACAGGCAGGCCAACCAAAGAACTCAGAGAGAGAGAGAGAGAGGGAAGTGAACATGTTGGGCTCTAAGTGTATCTCTGTTAGGAAAGGGAGCAAAATGACAACACATCCAACAATGAAAATGTTGGTGAGCAGGGACAACAAAAGATGTTAGAGTAAAAAAGTTAGGAATCAGAAATAGGGATGCAGACAGGAAGTTAGAAGCAGAGGAAGAAAGACAAAGTGATGTGTTAAATCAGGATTCAGTTACAATAGTCATGCATATAGTCTTTGCTTATATAATTGTATTACTGCTTTTATTTTTTTTACTTCTTTTATATATTGATTTATTTATTGTTTTATGATTGATCATCCATCCATCCATTTATTTTCCATCACGCTTATCCCAAGTGGGGTCGTGAGGGGTGCTGGTGCCTGTCTCCAGCTGTCTACAGGCGAGAGGTGGGGTCCACCCTAGACAGGTCACAAGTCCATGCAGGGCAACACAGAGACATACAGGACAAACAACCATTCACACTCACACCTAAGGGCAATTTAGAGAAACCAATTCACCTAACCTGTCATGTTTTTGGACTGTGGGAGGAAGCCGGAGTACCCGGAGAGAACCCACCCATGGTCAGGGAGAACATGCAAACTCCATGCAGAAAGAGCCGGGCCGGGAATTGAACCCAGATCTTCTTGTTGCAAGGTGACTGATTGATTGATCATTTGTGTGTTATTATTGGTATAGCACTTTGTTCCTGGCGGGAGTTTAAATGCTTTATAACAGGGGTCTTCAATGTTTTCCAGGCCAAAGACCCCCAAACTGATGGCGAGATGGGGCGGGGACCCCTAATTATATATAATGTATTAAATTGTGTTATACCAAGCTGGTCCTATAGTCACTCTATTACATATGTAGTGATGAAATAAAAGTAATTTCTCCCTGGGATTATTAAAGTATTTCTGATTCTGATTTCTCATTGATGGGACAGGTGTTGTGAATGAAACAGTGCCCAGCTTGAAAGAGCTCCTGTGTGTCACTGAATGTGTGCATTGATGACTGAAGGACTTCTTCTGCCTCCATTTATCCGTTCACTACGGTGAGTTGAACTCATGTTTATATGTATTTAAAGACATTTCAATTATCTCATTTTGTTGAAAGCAACAAGGTAACACACATATCTAATTTTAGGGAGAGGAGAAGCACAGCACCAGTAACTGTCCAGTTTAAAGAAATTGATATAGGCTGTTATAACTGTGGCTGCAACATGGTTCATTTGAAGTATCTAAGTAAGTAGTAGTGAACATATGAAATGGTTAAACACATCTTAACTTGACCTTTACTAAGCATTAAAATATGCAATGTTTTATACTTGCAATTTCTTGACTTTAAAACTAATAAAAATTTACTTATATCTGATATTATACCTGTGACAAGGGTAGAGAACTGATACTGAATTTAATTTAATCACCATATATGATAGTTTGCTTTAGGTTTAAGTGAACTGGTGATTCCTCTTTGGCACCTTTGAAAGGTTTGTGTGTCCGTTGGGTTTGTTTTAGATGTGAATGATAGCTCTTTTTATTCTTAACTGATTAAGCCTTACTTTAACTCCACTGGTTCTTAAACAGATATTGTCTGAAGAGGTAAAGTGAAAAAGTTCTTTAAACTCAGCAACAAATAAGTTTACATTTATAGTGCTTGAAATGCATGGCCGTGGATGACACACTGTGCATAATTAAATTGAATCATTCTTTACTTAATTATTATTTTCTACGGCTCTGGTTAATATGTTAATTTTTACTGTGATGTAGTTTATTTAGAGCCTTGGTTGGGACTCCTGTAGAGCACCCATGGTTTCTAGCAACAGCTTCACTTCACAGCAGCGACTCCATAGGGAGTACTCCATAAAACCCATGGTGTTTGTAAAATTTGGCATATTTATACCTTCTGTTTTTGTAATGATTTTTATTTATTTATTTTTATTTACCTGAGAATATTATGGAGAGATCAACTGGCTTATCCTAATCACACCAACAAATATTCATGTCTATCTTTAAGAGTCTATGTTTTACTTACCCACTGTAACAGCTGCTATGACTGGCGACACAAACACGGACATCATCACCCCGCTTGCCACGGTTAAGTAGTGCTTACTTCCTGAGATATTGTTTTTCTTACAGCGACCATGGACCTGGAAGGTAATAAATTAGACACAAATTGCTTCATGGAAATTCAATTTGCTCCTTATTGTTGTTCTCTTTCTGTGCAACCAACCACTTAGCCACATCCACTAATAAACTCTTTAAGTGTACCAAAGAGCTCATACTGAAAAAACAAAACAAATCTGTGAGCTTGTCGCCACTTTCTACCGTTAAGATGAGAGTGTAAGTGATATATTTGCTGAACAATTGCTTGAATTCCTTTTTTTCCCCTCCAATATAAACAGTCGGCTGTTGCCATCGCTGCTTACCTTTCGGCCCATGTAGATTGGTATACCCACAATGATGACGGGGATGGCAATGCCCGCAATAAGGGAGATGATCACAGGTGCTCCAAGCAACATGCCCACCTGCCACAGTACTTTCCGAGTTTGAGACCATGGCTTCTTCCCCCAAAATGTACATCCTGAGGGACTGAACCATGTAAGACAGACACACATTTCAGTTCATATCTTTTTTTATTAATCCCAAAAAGTAATTACTCTAGTAAGGCAGGCTGCTATATTAGATTTTTTTATCAAAGATGGTGAATTTTGTGGAAGGGAAGGATCTCCTACAATGGTCTGTGTAGAAGCAGCTCAAAATGAGCCTCTAACTGAACACCCTTCTGATATAGTAGTAGCCATACAAAATTTCCCCACTTTCCTTCATGGGCTGTTGGCTGGTCCCCTACAATTAATTTTTAAACATCAATCTTTGTACTAAAATATTCTTTCTGTCATGATTTGTGGATATTAAGATCTAAAGAGAAGCGTCATCTCCTGATCAGACCCTGTAATTCAGTAAAAAAAATATGCACACCCAGGGGAAGGCCAGTGCCTGGAAGTTGGAGGGGATTTTGCTGGGAGTCGCAGGGGAGTAGACTGCCATTCAGCTGGCGATTGACTGGGAAGGGCAATTTTGAATGGCTGATACATTTTTCAGGAAAATGTAGGGCTGCACGATACAGTATATTGAATCATAATCACCACTGCAATATAATTTTATGCCATATGGCACTCCTAAAGGACTGCTTCAACAAAATGTAGGACACAATAATTAATGTATTAGACAAATACATCGGTAATATTTAGCCAGTTTGATGGAGTCAATCTGTCTTTAATGCACACAAAACCCACAAAGGATCTGTATCATTAGTGACTGATGTACTGAATAAAGAGTGGTGATTTTGGCATAGCATATTTGCAAAGAAAGCTACTGTAGGTGGAAATAAAATGAGGGTTTTCATACAATAATCCCAATTTTCAGCAATACAATCACAATCAAATATTTTATTGATATCCCACAACGTTAAGAGTATAATTAACACAACTTTAAAGATCCCTTGACTTAGTTTGACTTATGCACTGAATTACCAAATATTTGCACACAAAAAAAGACATTTCCAAAACTATTTTGTTTATTTGTGATATCCAAACTTCATATCCACTAAAATAGGCAGCAGGGGTGCACATCTATAGTGAAAAACACGATATTCTGCTATGATCATCAAGGTGGAAACATTTCAGTAATGTACCATTTTTTTTTTCTTTTTCATAAAACAAATGCAAAAATTTAAGAAGACAGCAAAGTTAGTCTAATTATTTCTAATATTCCACTCTAATTGATGTTTTACTCTATTATTCTTCATTTTGCAGCAAATTCTAACATGGGAAATTATGCTTTGTTAACTGTTAGAGAAGAAACTAACTAAAGAAACTAACACTGTTCCAGAGGAGTCAATATTCAAATATCCAGCTTTGTTCTTATGCTTGAACTATACATAAATGAATGCTTAACCAGCAACAGATTTTAAGTCTAATTAAAGAAATAATTGGCTTGTATGTTCAGGAACCACAACATAAAAAGCACAAACTGCACCTAAGTGCTATTATTTGAAGTATCTAATTGTTTCACAACATCTCAAGTCCCTATGGGAAGTTATAGTGAGCTGTTATTGTTGTTCTCTGTTGCTCTGACTAGCAGATTAACTGCGCTGTCCTTAAAGTGCATCTTTCAGCAGCAATTTCCAGTAAGGGAAGGGGAGATGTTTAGAAATCCAAGCTGACACATGCAAGAATCAGTACCTTAATCAAACTATTAAAAAGAAATTACATAACACCCACACATTTTTCTAAGTAACATTAAAATCATCCCCACTATAATAGAAATATGTTGGCATATTAAGCCAGATAAATTATGGAAAACCAGCAGCAGATTTTTTCCAGGACTTAAAAGTCAATAGAGAGGCCAAATTTTAAACAGATGAAGATTTTTCACAGTGATAAATGAACAAAGCTTGCTGAAAGGCTTATTTTTATAGCATCTACAAATGCAGAAAGGCAAGGAATGAAAAAAGGAGCTCAAACTGTCACTTCCAAAGTGATGTTAAATATTTTGATCAAACTAAATAGGGAAAAAAAAACAATAAGCTAATGTGTAGCTTTATAAGTAATTAAACCAAGACTTTTCCAATGTAATAACTCTTTTAGTCAATCAAATGCATTAAAAAGGCAAATAAATACAGTTAAAGTTGGACATCTCTATGACAAATAGTACATAAAACAAACAAAAAGATTCATCTAATAAAACAAAAGCTTTAACTTGTAGTAAATTTGCAAATTCAAACATTTAATCTGAAACATTACCACACAGAGTGGGAGGTATATTTCAACTCTGAACTTAGCTGAGTTCTCCCTGCAAATGAGACCATTTTAAACGGATGAAAAATTACATTTCCCATGTGTTATATACTCGTGTGAGATAACCATTATTTCTGCTGCTTTATGAAAAAAGCACCCAACAATAAAAAATACCTCTTTTAACAAGAATGACTTACAGATGTAGGAAGCTACAACTAAAGCTGAGGCAAGAAAATAAAAATACTGAGGATAAAAATCAAGCCAGTATATATTCCTAGGAAATTTCCACTGAACCAACTATACTCAGCATATATAGCAATAGTAAAAACCTTAATACATTTTATTTAAAGGGATAGACCAATACGAAGAAGTATAGCTAAAAGAATGTAATCCAATCCACCTACGTAGACACTATTAGTGCAACAACTTAAGAAGTCACCTCTTAAATTTTAAAAGGACTTTTAAAACTGCAAATGTTAAATGAATAGAAATCCAAAAGACAATAGTTTTAGAGATAAATAAAAAAAATCCTAATCTGCTTTCTGGGCTTCTAAATTTGGTGTAACTGCAGGGCTCTAGTAGGAGCTGAATTATGTACAGTAAGTATCGTAACCAAAGCGACAAAACCAGCTGTGCATATTATATTTTTTTGTTGCACAAGCATAATTAGTTATTGCATGTGTTCCCCTAGGTTAAAAGGGTCTGTCTGTGTGCAAGGTACCTGAGGTAGTGTACATCGGTTATTTCCTGCATACACAGCCAACAGAACTGACAGGCACACACAGTGCAGTTCATGCGGTTACAGCTGCCATCATTAGTCTTCATAATGTAGGCACCACAGCGAGGACATGCTTTGATTTCCTCTGCATCTGAAACAGAAGAAATATAGAAGACAAAAATTTAATATAGTTACTTAAAGCCCAGAAAAAGTACATTTTTCTTTTGGTCAAATATAATACTGCTTTGGTTACCGTATTTGTGATAATAATCAAAGTCCTTAATACCTCAGGTTTCTAACTAATTTAAATACACATGTCATAAGAATCTTTTATTATTTCATAGTAGTAGCAATAATATCAGGGTTGGAAAGTTTAGAGTAATCCAACCTTGAATTGATTAAATTATACAGTCGTCAAATGGCTCTAGTTTAACAAAAAACATTTTCAACAATAAAGACTGTAGCAACAACTTTGTCATAAAAATTATAAATTTTTTAGAATAATACTTCCTCAAAATATCTAATGTTACAAATTCCTAATATTTCCTTTTTTTAAAAGTTTATAAATATTTGCTTTATGAATTCTTGCAGGTTCGTATTCTTTGAATATATAAATAAATCTGAGGATGCAGAATATTTATAGCAGCTCTTTTCAAGTTTTGATCCAGTAATTAGCCTAATTTAAGATATATTAACTGATTTTTCAGGTCAGTACTTGGTGAGTATCAATCCTGCATGCAGGAAGCTCTTCTCAAAGACTCCCCTATATAACCTGAGAGGATCAGATCCATAGCTGAATTGATCCAACTGAAAGTTGCTCTTACGCAACAAAACAGATGTGACACATAAGATCAGACATTTTTTATTCCTTTGATTTGTGATTCAACCTAGAGAGGTGCATGTGGCCTTGTCTTGTTTCATTTTGCGACAGTGCTTTGTTGCCAGTGGCCTTCAAGGGCGCTAAACCTGGAAGTTACAGGTCTATCGCCCCTAGAGGCTAAAAGCTAAATGGTGCTGCCATAAATTATTTGTAAGGTTTGGACCTCCTGATTCCTGGGTAAAGCATAGTCACAGATTTGACAGCTTGAGAGGTAACAATGTTACAGCAGATTATAATGTTGTTGACAATAGGAAAAACTTGACTTTATACGGAAGAATTTAGTTGTGGCTCATCATAAACATTTCAGCGATAGCTCATTATGACTTGTTCGTGACTTAAAAATGAATGCATAGGACTTGGACTTGACTTTGGATATATTAGTCTTGATTTTTGACTCGATTGCAGACCTGACTATAAAGACTTCAGACTTAGTTGTGACTTGGGAAGTATTTATTGTAGCAATTCTACAAAAACGAAATGGTAAGAGAACCTGCCGCTCTAGTGAGGCAGATATGTGGTAAAAGTCGGAGCCAAGCTTATTTTGTCACAGCCCTCATAGAGGAGGATTAAAAAGCCTCTTCACAACTCAGTGTTAGATAATTGCACACAGGGTAAACAAGGCAGTAGCATACTGCGGCTAAGCAAAGTGGCACCTCTCATTGAAGTGTGGAAACACTGAAGAAATGTCCAAGATATGGTGTTAAAAACACAATGATATTTGAATCCAAGAGGGATAAGACTTGAACAGTGCTCTGAATAGAATATTAACGTAGATTTCACTATAGCAGAAGTTAAAGCTGCTGTGGAAGGTAAATTGATAGATGTGTGGATAAATGTCCTTATTAATACTGATCTGAGTTATAGCAATGTTGTTCTTTGTCATTACTAATGACAGACAAAGTGACAGAGAGACACACAGACAGACAGACATGTTTTCACCTTGATGCTTTTTTCCGTCTTTACATTTGTTAGGAATGGATTGGATGTGATCAACCATTTAATGGCTGTTATTAGTGTTTATAGGTCCCATAGATTGGCTTCAGACTGGGCCTCCTCGACCTTCTAGTAGGTTTATTATGATGATAATATACAGCTTATTGTTGATAATAGCCTCTTCGGCCACATCTAAAACCTTAAGTTTTATTTACTATTTATTGACTTAAAATGTTTTGTCTACTCTATTTACGTTCTACCTTCTTTAAAAAAAAAAACACTGCATTTTAAAGCTTTACTTTGGGTGAATTGCATTTGTTTCAGTCACACAGACTTAATGTGAGATTTTTTTGAGATGGGTTGTTCGATATGAGTGACATGCCAATCAAATATATATATTTTTTTAAATAGATGAAGAACTACTAAAATTACGTTCAGATAACACATACATACATAAATTAATTTTTCGGGTAAAAAAGGAATTACCTTAGGGTTAGGATTATGATTCATTCGGTGATAACTTACTGAGCCTACTGTTAGGTAGGAGACACAATCTGAGGCCATTCTATGAAACTGATAATCGTTAATAATGGCAATTTAATGGGATGATAAAATCCAAAGCGGCTGGTCATGCTCTATTTAGTTGTCATCATCCAGCTCTTAGATAGTCTGCTATACTGTGGGTAGATCCACCAAATCTGTTTATGTGTGCTCATGGCGCCCAGTGCTGCAATTTTATTTAGGCTTCAAAAGGACCAACCCCTCAAAAGGAAAATTGGTGTGTTTGATTATTATAACATTTTTGGTTTTTGCTCTGTTTGAATTAGACTACAAGGTATGTAGAAAGCTTGTATTTTTATGAATGTCTGAAATTTCATGATTAAGGAGGCTGACTGTAATGAGATGACGCAGTCTACTCATGCGCTCTTCGTTACCTGAGAGCCGAGCCAAAACTGAACCGCACCGAGCACTACTGATGAACTAGTACCATGTTAGCATGGTTTGGTTATGTCTAGGGCTATATTTAACTACTCTCAGTAAAGCATGACTCAATGGTAAGATAATGAATAGTGAAACCGATTCCAATCTCACCTCCTCCAGGTTCTTCATTGAAGACATACATTGCTGAGGCATCGTTGCCACCCGAAGCATGGCGGGCACGCTGTCGGCGCGCCTGGTCACACGTCTGGTTGGGGTGCCACAGCTGCCGACAGTGGTAGCAGAACTCTGTGTCACATCCCTCACGTCCACAGCTCAGTTTGGGACACTCTGCACAGCCATAGGCTATGACTGCATAGCTATAATCCAGAGAGGCATGTCATTTAATATTTTTACTAAATGCTTAATTCTATTACTCTAGCATGTTGATTTCAAGCTCAAAGGCACACAGAAACAGTCAAAATTTGTTTCATGAGAACAGAACTATCAGTGGAGAAAAGTTTCTGTGATCCAAGTTCAAATGCAGATTTAAAGCATGTAGTTTGTTATTCCAACAACATTTTTGTCACTTCAAAGTTTTAATGTCTTAATGAATCCAACCGTTTAGAGGGCTCACGCACACACACACACACACACACACACACACACATCCAAACACAAAAGAGAACAATTATCATGCAGGAATGATCCCACTTTGGTGCCAGGCTCAGTTAGAAGAGACTCGGAATTTTAGCAAGTGCTCATGCATTTATCATATCCAGATATCAGTTATTAAACAAACCAGTTATTAGGTCAAAAAGTTCTCAGAACAATATTTGACATGTAGCCATGCAAACAAGTTGAATGTATGCTCTAATAAATCATGTCTTAAAGGTCTTAACAGAGCTGAAAGTATTTTTTTAACACTTTGGCCATCTACTTAAAACTTACTTGCATATCATTTGTGCTATAACCTGGCTAAATTTTTGTTATTATTATTATGTAAAGAAGTTAGTTAGATTAACAGGCACAATTTCTTTTCTTTTTGTATTGCTGCTGTCATAACTGTTCCATCTGGTCAGGATGTATTTTTCTAATTATATTTAAACTTTCCAGACATCTTTTCAAAAACATCAACAAAAGGAAAACAGTCCAATTTTATTTGAAATGAACAAGTGATTTATCTAAATTTGTACATAAACAAATCATTTTCTTCATTCTTGCTGTTTTTACCAGCAGCATGATTTCCCTGAAACAATGTTACCTTAAAGGTTGCCCAAGACTAAAGGAAAATATTGGGAGAATGCCTTCAAAACTAAGTTTTAATATATTTTTCTAATGTGAAATATAAAATGGATCCGCTTGGAAAAAAAATATAACATATATATAAATTACAATTGGCCAATAAAAAGTAACTGGCTGCAACAATTTATTTTTGTATAAAACGTATCCTTTTTTATGTGTTTTGTGTTTAATTGTAACTCTTTTACACAAATTAGGTGCATTGATTACTTTTCTCCATGAATCAAATAAATTTAGGATTAAAGCACTAAAAGTCCTAAACCCCACTGCTTTCATGCCTCTGACCACAAACATCTACTAAATGCATGAGTAGAACATGCACGTACGTTTTATTATGACCCTAATTCGCTATCCATTTACATTATGGCCATGTTGCAATGGATCAGTGTCAGTGCATGATCCAAACTGCAGAAATTTAAGGAGCTTAATCAGATCAGCTGATGATGTTTTCTGGTAAATCTGCAGCCACTGTTTAAAAAAAGAAGTATAATCTTCCAACAATCTTCCCGTTTGTGGATTTAAAGATCAGCTAAAGATTGAAATGTAAGAATTTAGCTAAGCTTCATGTCTCCTATGGGTGTAAGGTAAGATGTTTTTATAACTTTGATGTGTGCTGTTGCCAGAGGTGGGACCGACTTGTTGTTTTGGAAAATTCAAGTCTTAAAATTTAAGCCCTGAATCGAGTCTCTAGAAAAGACTGTAAAGTCAATAGAGTCTCACCTCAAAACAGGCAAATCTCTGGTCAAGTCAAAAGTCTGTCTTACATAGTATCATGTAAAGCAAACTAATAGTTCAGTTGAATGGAAGATTCAAATATTTATTATGTATATGAAGTCTAAATCAACGTAAAACCATTGCAATCTTTAGAAATTCTGTTGTCATCTGCTACAAATAGGAAAGAAAAAAAATTCCATGGCTCGATCCCTCATTTCATTATTATCCAAAACTATAAGAACTAAAATGCTAATTAGACTATTCCAGAATTTTTTAAGACTATGTGAATCTTTAAATGTCATTTTCAGTCTTATATATTGTTTTCTTCTTTTGTTCTGTAGCTTAAATTTCACCTGAACCGATAAGCTTAGTTATCATGCTTGGACCGATCTCGGCACAATTTCAAAAGGGTAGTTTAAATGGGGCTCATGTGAGGTTTTCAAGCTAGACAAGTATGCAACTCCATCACTGTTGGAATTTAGGCCAAAAAGGAAGCACTGGTCTGCAAGGCAAAACAACATCTACAAACCCGTTTTACAGACAAATAATTATTCTGAGATCTTAAAAAGTACGATCTTCTGATTTAAATAATCTGGATACGGTGTATGATATATGGTGCCACATCATGATAAATCAAATATAGTGATGTCAGCATCATCCTGTGTTAATGGGGTATTTAGCAGAAGAAACCTAAAAAACACAGATGCAGAAATAAGACTTTTTCGTAAAAAAGAATGGAAGCTGAAAGCAGAGATTTATAGGCAACTAAAATAGTCTCATAATGCAGATAAGCTTCATTAAAGTAATAAAGAATATCTAATATGTGTTTTTCATATTGATGTTATAATATTTAATGTTAGTAAAAAAAATCTCCAAACAGATTCTGCGCAGGTATCCAACAAACAAATCTAAGCGAAGTTTTTAAAAGGTTCTGCTCTATCAATTTTGTGATAGCCAGATTATTATAAAATCTAAGAGTCTCCTGTATTTTTAAAACCTTAACACCAGGTAAATGATGATGTTTTTTGCAGGGGCTTGTATCATGCTGTGGCATGGGATTTCTTTATAATGAGTTGTAGCTGAGTGGGATGTACCGGTGAAACTGAAATATTTAAGTTTTTTTTAATTTACACGAGTACGAGAAAAGACAATATAAATATGCGTTCACACTGAACATAATACAGCAATTTTTTTTTATTCTTTTGTGTGCTTTTATTTTCAGGTGGCCAGGACCTGCTTTGGAGTTATAAGAGGAATAATGAGTCATGGTTCAGTCCTTCTAGGCTAAATTAAAGCAGCTTTTTAAAAGCCACCCACAAACCTACCAGAGGCTTTCCCAGCTTTATTATAATTAACATTATTTTCTCTGTCTTTCATTTTGATAAAAAAAGAAAAAGAAAAAAGCTTTGCCCCCACTGCGTTCCTTCACTATGTTTAAAAACAACATCCAGCCTCTGGTTGGTTGAAATTAAACTAATTTAAATATTTGTATTTGCCCTACACTTCACTCCTATAGGCACCTCTACTTAGGAATAAATCAGTCGCTCTGGTCCCGCCATTCGCATTTGTTGTGAATGCACCATTATAGTTGCATATGACATGAACACTAGATTATTTTTCAGAGTTATAAGGGGTTAAATTATTGATGTGAGAGACTTCCAGACTCTTACCTGCAGTCAGGTGCTGGGCACCAGCGTGTATCTGGGTCAGCAGCCAAAAAACGCCTAAGCTGGAATTCCTCAAATCTCTCCAGCAGTGCCCTGTCATCCAGAATAGCATGGACATCCAGCGGCGCCAGCGCCTCAGGGCACTGCGGGCACGCAATATTCACCCTGCTCTCTGATATCTCAATACGCAGGTACTGGCGAAGGCAATCGGAGCATGCTCGATGGGAACAGGAGCTGAGGCGTGGGAAGTGGCTGCGGGGCTGGCTAAGCAGGCACAACGGACACTCCTCCAGGTGTTCATGGAGCAGCTGCTCCTGGCTGGAGGAGGAGAGGGAAAGGACGCCAGTGGACCCACAGCTGGCCCCACCCACACACTCCTCTATGATGGTGCTGGTCTTTCCCGCCTCTGCTGCTGCATCTAGACTCGCTTCTTCTGCTCCAGAAGCTCCAGATTGTGCTTCATCTATTGCTGTTTGGCTGATGTCCTGAAAATGATGAGAGAGAATATTGGTTAACCGAATCTGGCCATGTGTTCAGATGACAGGCAACTTATTGTAAGTATTGTACTTCATTCTAACAAATAGCTGTGATCTTAACTATTCCACACTAGCTCTGTAGCCTCTAACATTTTTTTTCTAGGATTATCCATCCATATTACAATAACCTCCGACCAGCGTTCCTGTCTCTTCTTTAAAAGAGTACCCCCTCACTCCGATGCTCACAGTGTTTCTATATAGGAATGGTGTCTTTGCAGGAGCAGTCTAACTTTTCCACCACACAAAGCATCTCATCTGAAAAAATAACTTTGCTCCACATGTTTGTTGTGTCCTTTAAATACCAACAAAATACAGAACTCCATATATTTTCCCTTCAATAATAGTTTTTGTTTTTGCTGCTAATCTATTACAGCCAGAGATCATGCAGATTAATACTCTCCAAAGCCTGGCAGTTAAGGTGGACAGCTATCAATGGGAGGCTTTGATGCACTATACTCCATTTTCACATCATGCTGATTTTATAATGAAATCAAATCCCCTAAACCTGTAGAGTCTGTTTCTAAATGTACAACAACTAACAAAACTAGTTGAATAGATTTTTTCTTTGGGTTCCAATTAAATGAAGTTTAAATAGAAATGGACCACACTGTTTTTTGAGACATTTTTAAGGAAATCAATTGTTTCCATTCCACCATTTAGCACTAACGTGTGTGCCTGTTACATAAAGTGGAAATGATATACATTAACATGCTAAAAAGTTCAAGAAAGAATAGTTTGGCAAGACATTGTTCATTGCATACAGTACTGTGGGCTGGGTATAAAAGGTTTAGTGAACAAAGAGAAAAAAGCAAGTGCGAAAAGTAAAAAGAAAACTCCAATTAAGCTTAAATTAATATTGGTTAAAGATTCCATCAAAGATTACAAAAAATTATTTTGAGAACCAAGCCAGCAAGACTGAGGCATTCAAAGTCTTTTTGTTCACACATTTTCAAGAAAATTGGAAGTTTAAAAACATTTCCGCAGTGACTCGTACAAAAGCAGAGTGTCAGGTGATCCAGCCTCACCTGCTCTGGATGCTCGCTCGGAGTCAAAGTTATAGACACCTCTTCTTTCGGACAGGACTCCACAGGCTTCTCTGGCTTTGGGTCTGATTTGGGCTTGCGGCTGAAGAAGTTGAGGAAGCTGAAAGGCCCTGTCTGTTGCTTGGGTCTCTTCATCATCTGGACCTTGAGCAGGAGCAGCAGCAGCTGAGGAAAACAGGCCAATGACCATGAGCGGGATGTAAAAGCTGCAGCAAGTCTTTGTTGGGCGGATTAGCAGAGGGAGAGCTCTCACGGATCAGAGTCTTGGAACTGGACAGCTATTTTGCTATATGAGCAACAAAGAGTGGGAGAGATGGAGACACTGAAGAGGAGGTAATCCCTGCCTGAGGGAAACATTGCTAATTTGGTGCTGTTTTGCAGGGTTGGTCATGTGGTTCGGTTTCCCTCCTCTGCTTCCTCCTCGAACGGAGTTCACATGGAAGAAATATTCACCATCTTGGGCTGAGGGCTCTTTGGAGAATCAACAGTCCTTTTTCCTAAAGGGAAAGAAACACAATTAAAAAACATATCTAGAGTGTGAGCATTATTTGACTGTACAGCAAATCACATTACAGCTTTTTTAGTTAATTTATAATTGGACCATCATACGAATCATATCTTCCACAAGTCCACAAGAAAAAAGAGCCAAAAGATGCTTTCTTCTGATTAAACTGACATATGTGCTCCCCTTCCCCTTCCTGCACACTTCGGCCAAGGAATACTACAACCCTTTTTAAGAGCTGCAGTCTGTTAAATAGCTTACTTTAAGCCATTTCCAAGTAGATAGCCAAACGTATTTTCCAGCCAATATCAGATATAAGCCAGAAAGAAAGAGAGGCTTATCCCCTGAAGACACTTCAACAAAATCTGGTCTCTCTAAATTTTTATTCTTGATTTGTGACATCTTTTGCAGCATTAGCAAGCTGTTGAGAAAAACTCTTTCTCAAATAAGAAAGAGACTTTAAGTATTGAAATTTTACAGGATGAAAGATAATCGGACTACAAATAACATTTGATACCATGACAGAAAACAACAGGAGAAAATTCTTGTATTTGGTTTTATGTGCTGAAAATCAAGCCGAAGCACTTGCTTTTGGGATCTCTGCATGTTAGTTTTTATTATCACTGAGACTTGAGCAATAAGGTCACAGCAATGAGACCCAGATAGCAGATGAATGAAAGCTGTGATCGGCTCACTGGGAGGAAATAGAGATGAGGCAGTGCAGGCTGGCACAGACAACTCATTCTCTCCATCAGGCCCAAAGAGCAAAGAGAGCATGAGGTGATTCACTACACCCGGACCAATTAAAATAGCTGTCACCATGGCGACCAATGGAATACGGCATAGAATCTGAGATAATTAAAGGTTATCATCTATTTCGGGGTCTATCGTCTAATGTCTTTAACAAAAAAAACTTCTGATCCGAGCAGTTTCCATGAAGAGAGGCCATTTTGAAAGCTACTATTGAGATTGATCATGGATTATTGTTAGGATTAATTTATATGAAACAAAGTTAAGTTTATATGATGCAATGTGACTACAATTAGAAATGTTTATGTGCTGCTGAATAGTGGCTATGTTTAAAATCAACAGAAGCATTATATGTGGTCATTCATGCTGGCGCCATAAAGAAATAGTGCTGATATTTTAGACGCATGTTTTTTCTTCAACACAGTGTTGGCTGGAAATACTGTCTGATCAATTACCACAAGGAAAAATTTGTGCAGTTTTATTAAGACATTATAAGGAGCCAACGGCTCACATGCTGTCTGATTATTGTCCACTAACTTTAATATAGCAGAGATTGCTCTCATTCCCGGCACCATAAAAAATTTAAATAGAAAAATCCTAATGGGTCATTTAAAATGCAACATAAAAGGCATATTTGGACAGATTGTGTAGTGTTCAATATCAATAATATGAACACTGCTGAACTTGGACAAATGGAAACATGTTTAATTTGTGCATCTACTTAAAATTCCCCTGGATTTATAATAATCAGTAGTGATGTCCTGATCAGATATTAATATCTGAAATCAGTTTAAATTCAGCCAAAAACTTAATATCTAAATACCTTCCCTAAAAAAAACTCTAGTATTAGAAAGCTCATAGAAAGACACGTCCATTCAATACGCTTTTGTATAAAATCTAACTATTAAGGGGAAAATAAATGGGTCAGATGTTCTCATATCTGATACAAAGTATTATTCTCTGTTTGAGAAAGATCACTTGATCAAGTCTTTTCTATCTTTCCACAATATGAAACAAGTAATAAAAATATGTATGATCATGCTGATATCATATTGAGTTAATATCAGTACCTTTCAATGCTCAAAGCAGCAACATCGAAAGAGTTTCGGGGAAAAAACTTGTATCCGGACGTCCCTGATAATCAGGCACTGACCTTAAACAAAGATTAAACTACAGTACTGAGTTTATTAACTCTATCTAATTTACAGAGAGAATAATTTATTTATTTATAAATATTTATATAGAAATATATACAATAATACAATATTAACAAATGTTTCACAGGTTGCAAATGCCCAGTGATTCAGCTAACCTTATTAGTTAGGAGGAGGAAAAAAAGTTAGGTCTTAGTATTTAATTTAAAACTGGTTAAAGAAGAAGAGGCAAACCTCCTGGAGACTTCAACAACAACAACAAAACATTGTTTAAAGTTTTTGGATTTTTATGATTAAGTAAAGGGCCTTTGACTTTTATTATCCATGTAAAGAGCAAGATTTTAATGGTAAAGTAGTTGCATACGTTACCAATAATAAATTCCACAAAGACTTTCTGTGTGCACATGATGACTAAAAGGTGCATTTGCCTCAATGGGAAAAATGTCCCCCTCTTTTCTTTATAAAGTACCAAAAGTATTATCCCGTTGAGACAATTTAATTGTTGCATCTTTGTTCACTCTTCAAAAGAACCTGTTAAATAATGCCATAATGAGATGTTTTCAACTCAAAGTTTCTCATGTAAGAAATAGCATCACTCTGTTCAAAGTTGCCCAAGTTTGTTAATAGAAATGTTTCAAAAATACGGTGCATTGCAGTTTTCTATGACATGATAAACCACATGTTCTTATTACATCCTAATTAAGGTTTACTGGGATTGTATCAATTCCCTGAGGAACACGTGACACTAGAAAACAATGTGGAAGCACATTTAAGTGAGTGTGTTTTTTATGCCTTGGGCAGTTTTCTACAAGGACAAAAAACGCAGGTCCTTTGAGAAGCACCAGCCATCTACAGACTGCTGCTGACCATGTGCAATATTTCATGAAATAGATATTCCCTGATGTTTCTGGGTTTTTTTTTTTTTTACAATGATGAACAGTGATTCAGGGTCATTTTCGGGGGCAAAATAAGACATTAGACATTAACTTGTCCTCAAAATTCTCATTTCTCAAACCGATCACATTTCTGTGGGATTTACAGAAAACAACTCTACACGAGGCCACAATAAAAAAAGATCTAAGAGACACACAGTTACCATCTTAGAGTCAGACAGCAGAACACTGATTTAGTGCTCTAATATACCTAGACAGTATTAGGCAAGAGCCAAAAGGTACAGTTCTTGATTTACCCATCAATCTATATTTCTATTATCATCTATGGTCATGAGCTTTGGGTCATGAACAAAAGAACGAGATCCCGGATAGAAGTGCCCAAAATTAGTTTGGGTAGTATTGTGTCTGGGCTCTCCCTTAGACAAAGGGTTAGGAGCTCAGTCATCCGGGGAGGACTCAAAGTAGAGCCGCTGCTCCACCATGTCAAACCAGTTGAGGTGGCGCGGGCATCTGGTTAGGATGCCTCCTGGACGCCTCCCTGGTGAGGTCTTAAGGGGACGTCCCACCGGGAGGAGACCCAGAGGGAGACCCAGGAAATCCTGGAGGGACTATGCTTTTTGGCTGGCCTGGGAACACCTTGGGATTCCCCCAGAGGAGCTGTCCCAGGTGACCTTGGGAGAGGAACGTCTACGCCTCAATACTGAAGCTGCTACCCCCGAGACCCGACTACGGATAAGCGGAAGAAGATGGATGGATGGATGGATGGATGGATGGATGGATGGATGGATGGATGGATGGATGG